GTATGTCTATTACTTTCTTCTCTCTCTCTCTCTCTCTCTCTCTCTCTCTTTTTTCTTTCAAATTTATTCGTTTCTGTATTCTATCGGTGTACGCGCCATGGATGATGAACGTAATAAAATACGCACGGTGAACATCACCTCACAATAAAAATTTTCACCAGTATAAATCTGTAAAATTCTCTCGGGTGCAAAGATTGACCTAGTTACTGAGAGATTTAAAAATATAACTTTCATCGCCAGCGACTGGCAATTTCCGCTTTGTTTCGCCACTCGGAAAGTAGCGGAACCGAAAGCACTGGTTGGATCGTCGTTAAGATTGCATCAGTTGGAAAAAGCGCGATTAATCAGCCGTGAGGTACAGCGCTAAGCTTACTGATAATTATCAAGCAAAGAAAGCGCGCTTTCTTGTAATACAATCATTACAAATGTAAGGCATCCACTATAAGGTATCACTGTCGCCATTAATTGTGTTTTTTAGTATTTCACCAGCAATATAAGTAACGTGACTAATATAACATGACTAAACTACTAAAAATTTTCAAGAGGATTAGATTTATTAATTATTAAACTATCTGATATTATTAAATTATAGTGTAGATTTACTTTAAAAATATAGATTACAGCAGATTTTCTTGTTTTCACCGTTATTAATAATTTACTTGCAAAAAATATTTAATATTTAAAATTTAATATTTATTTATTATTGTTTTAATTAATGTATATTAAATATTACATTACTAAAATACTGTAATGTTTTCTTTATTTATATTATTTTCACTTTTCTCTCTTGTAAGTTTTTCTTACATTGTTTATTTTGGGGAAATCGCAAACTTAAAAGTATATTTGATGTTGATCACATTGGATTTACTTAAAATTTATTTATTAACTAAGCCCATATTGAAGATGTAAAATCCATGAATTAGGCGTAATAGCCTATAGTGTAAGCGAGAGATTAGGTTGAGCTTTTACGAGCGTAACATTACAACGTATGTTTAAAACTTGCACGATGCGATGCCTGTTTACTGCTTTAGATGGTCTGTGGCAAACTTTCGAGCGAGTAAACAGCGTTATTTCTGTTGTTCGCTATAATACTCCGTGAAACTCTAGTGGGTGCATTATATGAAAGTTTATTATCAGATCTACATAGCATACGTGTGTAACTGGCGAAGTGCTTCGACTGTTTTGAGTCTAATTCGCATATCGCCAATATTCGATATATTTGAAGCTAATACCTCGGAATAAGTCGAATTGTATTTATCGACAAATTGTAGCTTTGATTCTATTCGTATAATTTTACTGTTAGATATTCTTCTAAAATACAAAACTTGTTGAAAGTGTGGATAAGTGCATAGATCAATTTAGCAATGAACAAGTGAAAAATTATTTATACGATATTAATATGTAATATTAATCAAATATCGCGTTTAAAAATTTAGCACGTTGAGCGTCGACGTCGTCAATGACGTGTCGCACGTTTCATAAAAATATTAATAAACTCCAACATTCGTTCTCGTCACGGTACAACGAACACCCTTTAAAAAATCATTAGAAGCTGCTTTTTATTTTTCTCGCAGAACCGAACAACATCAATCACTTAAGGATAAGTGCGACACCGTTCTGGCTTTGACGCTCGTGATCCGTCGTCGTCGATTCTTCTTGCGAACTTTCTTCAGCCGCTTCATAATTCTTTTTAAGTAACGTCGTTTTATTTCAGACACGTCGTCCTCTCTCTTGACGCCTTCGATGTTCCGAAGTCTATACTTTTTCGTTTACGTCGAACGGCAGATTACGAGAAGCTGCGTTCTGTCGATAGCTATTGGGGAGCTTACTCTTGATACCGTCGCTCAAAATCATCGGCAAAAACTCGCAAATGTTGCAGAAGCACGATTTGTATCGTCGATAGCGTGTTTCTTGATTTCTCCTCGATCATTCTTCTCATCACTTTAATATACACGCAGAATTACGAATATGTAAAAATGAATTTCATTATTCTCTTTTAGATATAAACGCGCTTGAATATTCTTCGAGCTATTTTGCGATATTATCAACTTAATAGCAAAGTTGCGACCGTGAATATTTCTCTTCGTACGTCTCACGACGTGTTTCCACTCGGAACACTCGGCGTAGTTTTACTCGACTAATAAATACACTCGCGCCAAGTTTCTTCTTCTGTTCGCAATATATGCGAACGAAACTTAAAGATAGTCACAGATCGCTGCCAGCTATATCGTCGAAGTTTCGTAACAGATAAATAAGGGGAGGAAAGCAAAGGAAAGTATAAGACGCGCCACGTATATGTGAATGTGGCATAATGTACATTTTTTAATGTAAATTTTTTTCTTCGTGCAATCGTGCATATTCCAGATGCAGTAAAGCATTATTTATAATTAATATGAATTCTGTCGTACCGTATTAAATAATTTCGTAATATTCAATTCTATCGTATAATATAATTAGAAATTATATATATAAAGCAAAAATCCATAACCTCTGCGATATACTTGATACACCGACATGTCGAATCCGCACTTGAGCATTGCAACTCAGAGAGGATCATGGGAGAATTTATCCACAAAGTTTCCGGCAATAAAAAAGCAAGCAAGACCAGGAAAGAAACGTCGACGAGCGAGTTTACAGTAATAACAGCATAACATAATATTTCGCTAGAGGGAACGCAGTCGTCGCCGGATTCATTTAAGTCTAATAGGATTATCCTTAATCCTGCCGCGGTTTCTTCGTATCCTTTTCTTCGTCCACCACCGAGAGTTCAGAGTTCTAAGGGATAGGGGTTAGACCGCTAAATGAGTCTCGACCACGGTTTCCGTGCTGAATAATGTATACGAGCCTCGATATTTTTCTACGAGACAGAGAACTCCACTTTTAGCCATTTTTCTCTTCTGCTTCAGAGATGATGGTGAATTATTAATCTAATCGAAGAGAGCTTACATGCTGTCAAAATCAGCAACCTTGATATTTTTAAATAATGTTAGTACCTTGTATAATGTTTATTTTTTATGTAATTTATTTTTATGTACTATTCGTTCTTCTGTAATAATCACTTAAATTTATGTAATGCAACTTTGAACGACTTTTCGTTCACGCTATTATTTGATACAGTATACAGATGTAATATTTCTGAAATCTATGTGTAGTGGAGTTCTAAGAGGGGTTATCATATTGTCAGATATGTAAAGATGCAACCGTGCATAGACGCGATGTGCTACAAAAGGAAAAGCGGGGCTTCGTTACGTCGTTACGGGCAAAGTTCGTAACGGGGGGAAACCCATTCGCAATTTATCACATGTGTAATGGAGTACCGAAGAGTTTTCAAGGCGAGGTAATTTACGGTACACTTTGTAAAGGCCGATGCATACAGCGCGTGGTGGTTCGTGCATTAAACGAGTACTTGTCCCTGCTTTCTAAATTAAAATGTACAAGCTTGACAGTATGTCTACGTGTGAGCGTGTGAGTTACATGTTTTTTGCTACCTCAGCGTATTCTACTTTGTGCCGCGTCGGCAAAGCACCGGCGCGGCGCAATGAAAGTGGATATAAAGCTGGCATTAATTAAAATCATTGCATAACATTCGTCGAGTATCCTTGATGGCGCGCGCTAAAGCGCCCACCCTCGGCATCGCGGGATGTTGTTTCTTTCCATCGAGAGAGGATCTAGCGCGTTAATCCCGCTTGTCGGGATATTAAAATCGAGAACGGATTGCATCAATTAGAGGGTATTCACGATACATCATGCTCGCTATGACGTTGTCAATTAAAAACTTGCAAATCCTTTTGCGCACGCCGTTCTTTGTTCGCCATTTCGACATCATCTCGTTGGGATTTAATAAAACCCTCTTTTATGAATTAATGTATAATGTTAAGTATCTTAAAAAATATTCTCTTCTATTTATACACCTTTTATGATAGAAAGCCTGTGACACAAAGCAAATGTAAATGTCAAAACTCTGAGTAAATTTTGATCGAATTGAAACGTATGCGGTATTTATTACGTTGTTTTTCACATTTAATTTAAATATGCAGAAATGCCACAAATGTCATGGGTCTTGCTTTTTAACAATTGATTTATTCATATCAATTTGAAATTGCTTTTCCGTTGACAAATATATCAATATTTGTATAATTATAACCAATCTCATGTCAGCCATTATAAGTTATTTCCGATATATAAAACTATTGTTTATCGATCGCATATGCCACTGTATAACTTTTCAGAAAGATATATATAATTTAATACATTTATAAAATAAGCAACGTGAAGATACGTTGAACATATCCAAATAAAATTGTAGATTCGCTAAAGTACATTGTGTTTCACGTAAAAGAATTGATAAGCATGTGCCGGTACTAAAGTAAAGCATGGCCATGCTTGCTGCTTTTAAAAGCAGCAAGCGTAGTTAAGGGATCCCGATTGCATTTCCGTTTCAAATCAAGATACCTACTCGAATCTTCAGATTTAGACGGGAAATTCGACGTTGCGGCATAGCGCATCGTGGTTACCCTCGACCATCGGATATGCGCATCTAATCTTGTCACGACGCGGTCATTCAATTGGCTTCAGCCACCGCATGATATTTGTCTGAACATGACTTCTAGGCTACGAGAGTACAGCGCCAGTGGCAGACATAATGGGTCCCCGGGAGCAAAGGGTGCCATCGGGCTCGACGATCACCCTGAGGTGCGTCATATCGTCGCCGTATCAGACCCGGCCCATCAGGGGTGTACAATGGCTTCGGGATAACAAACTCCTAACATTCCAGGTAATGCAGTCTCAGCTGGGTACGTAGGGCCGCTCTAATGAAATTTCTGTTTGATGACTGGGAATCGGAAGGACGGGGTAAAAAAGGCGCGCTCGTATATCATCACACCCACGACGCGAAGGGATATATGGGTCATATGGCTCCTACTGTGTCTTTCACATTTTTGTTTGCCTGCGTCGGCTGTTTCTTTCGTGTGATACGTAACGGCTGGAGGCTGATCGATTTAGCAGTCGACGCGGTTTTGCCGCTGCGAAACTGCGAGCGATTATCTTGTTTGGTTGATAAGTTGATGGTCCATCCAAACATTAGACAACCTAAGACTTAGCTTCTCTAGTGATCGATTTTTCTTTTCATTACTTATTGTTTGTTCTAACAAACATCTTATTTTGCTCTTCGAGGACAAAAACCGGTGGAAATTGTAATGAACACTAGACTTCTATTCTGAAGTAGTATTTTAATTGTAATTGACTTGTGTTAAATCATAGCTATTTGTTTCATTGATTCAAATACTAAAGATAGTGATAAAAATTTGCATTTTAGAATATGAATATGAGTGATATGAAAAAAAAAAAAAAAATTCAAGTTTCTTTAAATTTTTATATACGATGAATGTAGAGATTTAGATGTAGAGATTAATGTAAAGATTTTGTATGCAATTTAGAGTAATAGTAAAATTCTTAATTGCATATCATTTCTTTCTTGCTTTACTATAAATTTTGAAAAATAAAAATACGAATTTTGTTCCTATCTCTCAAATATTTAAAAAAATTTTTCTCTTACTTCATCGTTAAGTTTCCTTGTTTACTCTTCATCTAGGCAGCGCGCGGAGGAATAAATGTAGAGACTGAAAAGGATGCAGCACGTACGGTATCTGTGTTGACTTTGGCGGCGGTGACTCAAGATGACGTCGGGAACTATTCATGCAGGCCGACGGAGGGTCGATCAGCCACTGTCACCTTAGGCGTTGAGGAAGGTTAGTCTCAGTCTTTTATTACTTACACGAATATATTATAAAAATAAAAAACAAATTGGTAATACCCATAAATAATTTGACTGTAATACAAATTTTATAATTATTTTTTAATCTATATACACTTATATCTCTACGGTATCGTGTAAAATATTTATTAAAAATAAAATAGAGATGGCAAACAAGGGGGTAAAACATATTAAAAGAAAGTTAAAGAACTTAAGATAATGTGACACAATAGGAAAGTGTATAAAAGTATACCAGATACACTTCATGGAATATAATGATATAATAACAGTACACACTTACGTGCTTCGTGATCTTCCGGGAAATCTCGCTGTCGCCGGATGTGCTGTGCTCGCGCGCGCGCGAATGTAGCCGGAAGCCCACCGCAGGCGCACCGATATTACATTTCCTTCTACACTTGCGTGTATCCTCCGCGGGGTACAACCATGATGTAAAGTCGTGCCTTAGGATTACTTGAAACATTTTAAAGTTTTAAAGAGGCGGTATTTCACGCTGGAGCTATTTGTCTAGCTCAGCCCCTCGGTCGCCACGGCAGGGATGAAAAGGAGCGGAAGGACGAGAGAATTGGAAGGGGAGGATTGCGAAGGGGAATGGAAAAGACGGAAGATCGCTCGCCCCTCGTGCGTGTACTCCGTGTGCGAGACGAAAAGCGGGTGTCCGAGAGACGAGGAACGAGAAATCGCGGAAGGAGAGAAATTGCGGTTCACAGATAGAAAGACGGTGACGAAGAGAGAGTAGAGTTGGAGAGAAAGGAGGAAACTTACGGAGGAACGAAGTGGTATAAGCTAAGATTCCTTTCTTCATTCAAGCTTCGCTGCACGTCTTATTTTGTCCTTTTTTTCCTTTTTAAGACTGAAAAAATAATATGAAAAAGAAGAAGAAAGAAGAGAAAAGAAGAGAGAGAGAGAGAGAGAGAGAGAGAGAGAGAGAGAGAGAGAGAGAGAGAGAGAGAGAGAAGAGTAAG